CGGGGTCGCTTCACCGGGCGAGCGCAGGCTGTGGGCAGATCTGCTCCCCCGCGGCCTGGAGGGAGGTGAAGTGCCGGGCTGGGGCACGGCTCCGGGCGCCGGGAGGGCCTGGGGCGTGCTGCCGGCGCTGCCCGCGGCGAAGCGCTGCCTGTGTGCCAGAGTGAGCGACGGAGAAGGGAGCAGCTCGGGGAATTTGGCGCTGCCGTGCCAATGGCGCGGAAAAGCGGGTGGCAGCCTCCTGTGAGAGGGTGGCTGTAAAACTTAAAAAGCTTTAAAAAGGAAAGGAGAGAAGAGGAAGAACACTCCCCGATGCATGAGCTTTTTCAGGGCTTGATACAATTTATTTTATTTTAATATCATGTAAAAAATATTGCAGCCGGTCAAGTTCAGGGAAGGCAAAAGTGCAGGTGCTGAAGTCCAGGCCCAGCCAGTTCACGTTTGCAGCCCTGCGCGCTGCCAGCCGGTGCGCAGAAGGCTTCAGTTCCACCTTAACATTCACGAGTGCAATTGTGCATGTGCAGTCATGTGCAAATGCACTTGATACATGGAGCGACGCAGTCTGCCTGGCACCTCATTTTGTCATTTACCCAGTTAAATAAGCGCTCAGCAGAGTTCAAAATTGTATGAGCAAAGTAAGCTCAAAAAGCTCCATTTAAGGAAAGGAGGGAAAAATTATTTACACATTCGAGAAGTGTTTTTGTGTAGCCATTTAGGACTCTCCCAGACTAAAGTTTTCAGTACTGTTTTGTGGGGGTTTTTTTGTGGGGAAGGTTTTGGTTGGTTTGGGGTTGTTTTGTTTTTTTGTCAGCTAGGGAATGGAATTTCTTCCAAGTAGTGTAATGTTGTGTTTTATAGAAGTATCACCCGGTAATGAAGCCATTAACTAAAGAATTGTTAGGATGAAGTAGAGGGGCTGCAAAAAACCACCTATATGACAAACTGAAGTTCAAAAACATTAAGGACCTGGATGCTGCGTAGTGATGACTTATAGCCATGTAGCAGGTTATTTCTGCCTTGCTACCTGTTACTGTATAACTCAACAGTGGGTTGTGCAACATATCTATAAAGACTCTTGTTCCTGGGTGGATGGTTAACATCTTGAACTTTAAACCTTTTCCCTTTCATTGCTGCTATAATTCATAAATCATTCTAGTCCCACCCCTGATAACGTAAGACTTATTGTCAGCGTTTGTTGGTGCAAGTAAGTAGGATGCATCTCTGAGTGAAAACTTTATCTGAGTTAGAGGATACTGGAACAGGTCTTTCCTTTAAATTATTTTGTATCGTCCTGCTTCTAGTGGCCTCTGTGGCAGTCTTAATATCTTGGATACTGACTTCTTCTGTGTCAAAGTAGTGAAAATGCTCAGCAGAGAATCTGAGTTTACTCAATGATTTGCCGCTTCCATATTTTTTTTCTTAGTAATTTTAATCAGTACTCCCTATTAACCAAGCAGCAATGCAAAATATATAATATATGCAAATATATTGGCCAGTTCTTCCATTTCCCTCAATAGTTTTTTCAAAGGTTGTGTAGCTTAATTAGAACTTTATATTATTCTTTGAAAGCTGACAGATTGGGCTAGAGCTACAGTAGTGCATTACTGTAATCTGAACTTTTTCCACACCAAAAAGTGCTTTTTTGCCCCTATAACTTCTATTCTACTGGATGAATGTAGACTTCTTGCCAGATTTAATTTTTCTTTTGTGTGTAGGTGCAGTTTTTGTGATGACTCCATATTAATTTCTATGAAAAACAGTGCAATTTATATAGTGAGAAATACAGCATAAGCAACTCTTTATTTGTGTTCTAGGATTGTAAGTTATACAACTACTATGAAGATACCCTTAAATAATCACAGAAAGGTTGAGGTTGGAAGTGACCTCTGGATGTCATCTGCTCCAACCCCTCTGCTCAAGCAGGGCCACCTAGAGCAGCTTGCCAAGGACTCTGTCCAGATGGTTTTTTTTATATTCTTGGTTTTAAAAGCTGTGAAATCATCTATCCCGTATCACCACAGTTATTTTCTCAAGAAATAGATACTAAAATACTTCTCTGATCCAAGTTACACCATGTCACCACTGATTTTATTTTTGTCCCCTTAACATACAGGGGCATGATCTTTAGGATTTATGAAATTAGAGTCCGCTTTTAAAAGCTGTTGATGAGCCTAGGTAAAGCGTACAGTAAGACTCTGTCCCAAGGAGTTAATGAATTAGGAAAATGGTAAGAGATGCAGGTGGCTATAATAAAGTGATAATTGGTGGAATAGAAGGCAACATGAGAAGAATGACCTAATTAGAGAGATGGCCCAGGAGGATTAACCCAGCTGTAGCATCCTGAATATATGAAAAGTCACCTGGGTGGTTGTTTTTGTCAGAGGATGAGGAAGTTGCTGGTGTAGGGTGAGAAGTGCAAGAATCAAGCTGGAAGACTGAATGTTGTGTGAGAAGAAACAGCAGAATTTAGATATTGTCCTCCAGTTCCGGAGAGGGAGTGGGGATGTGTCCATCAGCTAGTGTATCAGAAGAAAAACGTAATGTTGTTGCTGGTTACTTTCCCAATCAGGAGAAGAGATGATGCTGGTTTTGCTCTTTGCTGCATAGGGTTGATGTGCTTAAACATTTAATGTTCTTCACGAGACACCACTCATACAGTACCTTAGCTAGCACTAGGGATTGAGTTCTGTACAGAATATATTTATATGATTTATATGTTGTATTTTTGTGATTATATGTTGTATTTTTCCTGATGGGGAAGGGAAAAATGGGTGTTTGACTTAGTTTTACATGTATCACCTTGCCTTGAGTCTGTGTACAGTATTGGTGAACTGGTCAGTTTTGATTGCAACCATTTTATTTCCTTTTAAGGCAGACTCTTTCTTTGTGTTTTGAAATTCACTGTGAATAAACTGGTTTACTCGCTAGTATTACTGTCGAGCAGTCTTGTCCTGCATGTAGCTTTTTGACCTTTAGGTGTTTTGAAAGTGTCTTTTTCCCAGAGGAGACAAGTAATAGGAAACCACCTGTATGTCGAGTCTTGCTGGCTTTAGAGAACCAAAAGGGACAAAGGGAATATGAAGCATGTATTTAGTTTAGAATATAATGCAAGCCATTGCAAACCTAGAAAGAAAGGGCCTTTCTTTAAGTTTGTGAATTGGTCCTCAGACTTCACGTTACAGTAATATTAGCCTTAGGTCAGATGTAAATTGTTTTCCTAAAAGTCAAGCTTGTCCAAATGTAAAACTAATGTGATGCGACCTCTCACTGCAAGTAAGATCAGTGGAGGGTCTCACTGTCATGGAATATAAATTAAACTCCTCATATGAGAATTCTTGGGGTTTTTCGTGCTTTATTTTACTGTAATTATCCAAGAGCAGGCATAGTAATATGACACTGGTTTAAGTAAATCTACTATTAGTGGGGGAGGAAAGAAAAACTAGCAAGTTCTATCAGTTAGGAGCTGGAGCAGAGAGGAACAGAAGTGTAGCAGTTTGCATAATGTTAGAAGTAAGATCCTGAAATCGGTGGTTTGGATGACAGAACATAGATTATAATATCTCAGTGTGGTGGTTTTATCTGTGACAGCATGTGCTATATTAACGAATGGCCAAAAAGGTTTCTGAAAACATTTATTCAACAGTACAGTGATTATCAGGTAAGGCAAATATGATATTATTGTAATAATATTACTGCTGAGGGGAAATCTAGCATACAGAATAGATCAGTATTTACCACCTTGTCCAATTGTTATAACACTAGTTTTAGAAAGTCTTGTTATAAGTTTCACATTGTGAGGTAATACTCTATTGCAAAAATGTGTTTATCTAAAAAACCCAAAAAAA